GATAATGGGAATCCTATACACCTGACTTTCTACTTTAGCCTCTAATCAAGGGGACTAATCAGACCAAGATGTGTTGGCATGAAAGCAAGTATTTGATGATACAGAGGGGGAGGAGAACAACTTTTGTGACCAAATTCTGATTCATCATGGACAAGCACTGTAAAACCAGTGGAGTATTAGAGGATGTAAACCACAGCACAGTGCGTCCTTTTCTATCACGTGAATTCTGAATGCTGTATCTCCAAAGCAACAAGAAGATAAACCATAGTTTTCAAGTCATGTGTGAAGTGCTCCCACCCAAACATCAGCATTTTCATATGATAATTTTATCAGTTATTTGTTGGCTTTTATTTGACATGTTATTCAGTCAGTTCTGCAGCCTAAGAACAGTCTTTTTGCAATTGCATAAACTATCTTCTCTTGTTCAATGAATGCCCTCAGGCTAAGGTGAAGAGGGCAGATGCATGTAAAGTAAGATGCAAGCCCGGCCACATTGAAGGTGATGAGTCCCAGTTTGGACTGGAAAGAGAAGAGAAGAGTGGTTCTATTCAGGATTGCCTCTGCCCTTACAGGTGGGGTGAGGTGATGGTCAGAATCAGGCAGGTTGGGAGTTCTCAGAAACATTGAATGTCTGTTCTTGCTGGAGTCTTTCATCAGTCCCTAACAGCTCCCACTCTCTACAGCTAGATTAGTGTAGTGTTTGTCTGACCCTTCTCCATAGCAGATCACCAGTGGGACAGTTCAGAAGATGAGCCGCAGCAACTTGAATGTCAAACAGGAAACAAATGTTGAGTGGAGGTACTCACTCCATGGAGGTGTAGTAGGACAGAGGTGGAAGCTGGGGATCAGGGTTTCTTGTGCCTGTTGCTACAGTGCAACAACCGCACTTCCCATCTCTGTAACCTTGGTGCAAGACAACAGTGGTCAGCTCCTCGCAAAAAGCTGAGGACCAGCTGTTGGGGGCATGATGGGGGTTAAGGAGCCAACATTAACTTTGCACCAGGTGGTAACAATTACGGGAGAGATCCTGCCCTGCACTGTACAAGTTACTGCTCAATGACTCCCATATGAGTTAAGTTAATAAAGTTATGGCCTTGAGAAAGCACATCTCTTGCATCTCATGTGCATCTCATCTCATCTCTCTTACCCTCCTCTCATCCCAGTTTAGAGAACAGCTCTTGGGCTAGTTTATTCTCTCTTACCTTAGCCCAGATTCCACTGCATGACACAGGACTAATGAAACTGCACTAGGAGCAACGCCCACTCTAAACACACCACAATATTTTAGCCATCTTTCAGGATAGATTATGGTATTCTTTTCATTTATCTTTTTCCTGTTGTTATGGCACTGGAATCCCTGAATCTGTGCCACAGCATTAAGAAGTCCAGCATGATTTCAAAGTGCATCTTGCGTCATTACCAGTAAAACTAAAACTATATCTGGATGATAATAAGACAACTGATTTGGATATTTATTATGTTGCATGTTACCCATCCTGGACAGTTTCCAGTCAGTGATTACTCATGGCATTCTTAGTTACACTTTAGATGATCAAAATGTGCTGTAAAGCTCAGAGCAGAAGCATGATGCTTTTACAATCTACTGTATTGAGATTAATATTTTTTATTTACATAACCTTTTAACAAGAAGAAAAGACCTACAGGATAAAATATTTTCATATACAGAAATACGAAAAAAGCATTATAAAAGCATTTCTAATTACATGGCATAACACAGCAGTTTTCTATCAAATACTTAAAAATGGCCTTTACCTTTCATCCCCCAAATTACAGAAACAATAAAACTTTTTCATTTTCTGCCAACATTTCCTTTCTATCAGTGTAAAACCAACTCTACCAGATTTTTTAAAGAAAGCCCTTGCCTCGAGCATTTCATTTGTATTGGTTCCATGTTTAGTCAGTAGCTTTTGTAAAATTGATGAATATTGTCTAAAGGCAAGTGCAGACAGGCAAACAGATCTGTATCTTCTGTAATCCATTTAGCCTGACACACATGTGCAAGTGAACTATTTTACCTTAATTCTTTCACGGCTGATGAAAAGTAAATGTAAGCCAAGTCGTGAACTTCACCATTTAAAAAGAATCACTGAATCTAATGTTAGAAGCTAATTTATGCTCTCACCTCTTCCCTGAAAAAAACTGACCTTGGTCCTCCTGCCTCTAGAGCATCCAGACTTGGCAAACAGTTGCTATACACACAACATCCATTGGAGGCTGTGTTTTTCAGCTCATCCAAAATGGAAATGGGTTCACTAATGCTGGAATATAAACAGATTGCTAAAGTATCATTGCAACATGAACTAAATTATAACTATTTAAATAAAATAAAGAAAACATGAAAGTATTTGCTTCTAGTATGTAATCCAAACACAGTAATAATTTGCACTTGATCTCTCAGGTTTTTTATGGAATTTACCTTTAGCCATGTTCTCCTCTTGGGGTACCCTTTAGCATTACTACATGTTTCAAACAGTTCCATCAACTTTACTCATGTCTTTGCTATCAGCTCCTGTGGGCTTTGAAGATATGAAACCTTCTTATACTTCTGTATTTCAGTGGAACTCAATCAAGTTACACTGATCTAGATGATGTGAGACTGGAATGCAACACAGAGCATTAATCCTCTTTACCTACTTGATTATTGGTGTTTTGCCAGTGAATCTCAGCTCTTACCCATTTCAAAGGTGTTAATTTGTCTATGTCATTGCCATCCGTGGCTTAAATGAGTGCTGTCTGACTGCACTGAGGCTACTACTAGTTTAGCTAATTCACTAGCTTAAATCTTCAGCATAGACAAGACCTAGAATCATATATTTTTTAAATTCTGTTATTGCTGCCAGCAGTCTCTTAATACAAGAAAAAAAAAAACCAAAACAGTGCTTATTTTTCATTACTGCTGGAAATAATTATTTGCCAATCATTTTTAATAGCTATGCCTCCACTTCAGCTGCACACTACAACATTGATGTGCTTTCTCTTCCCTTTACGGCTGTCAGATTCATTTCAATACTGTGATCCCCATGGTTTCTAGCAGCGCTTAATTAAACACAGAATAATCATAAAGTAACAGCATAAACAAACAAACAGTCCCCTCAAATGCTGTGTTAACGGTGTTACATCGTTAGCTTGTTTGAATTCATCTTGCTCATTTCCAAAGTAATATCTGTTTCTGTGAGAACTGCCTTTTCAAAAGCAGAATTCCCACATCTTCAGCTAGCTTTTCTCTAAGTGATCTCCAAAGAAAACAGTATTTAGTGTGGCATTAGTCCAAATATATGCTATTTGCCCACTGGTAGAGCCAGCTTTAGCTAGTGCAGGAAAGAAAAAGCTATGCCAGTAACAGAGTATTTCAGGATGTTAAGAAATCTATGACACAAGAACCAACAGATAAATGTGTGGATCAAGGTCACAATATAATCAAACCTACTTTAAATAATAATTTATTCTTCAGAGTCTTTACGTTCCACAGGGTGGCTAACAGTTTTAGCAGAAGTCCAGGACTACAATGAAAGTGCTTGATGCAGGTCTTTGTACTTCTGCTGGCATAGCTATTGTCAAAGGTGTGAAGAGGGACAATCTCCACTTGATATAATTGTCCTGGCAAAAGCTGGTAGGTGTGGACACAGCTTTATACCACTAAAACTGATTTTTTGCTGGCACAGCTTCTTTAGCTCCAGGGAGGTCTGGCACACATTATACTGTCAGAAGTGCAATTTTCGGCAGTACAAGGCGCAGCCACACACAGAGCCCTTTGCCAGCACAGGGTACTGGTATGCTCTGGGTAAGCCTGGCCTCAAAAGGGATTTTAAACAGACGATTAACACAGGAGGCGTACTCATTTCTTGGTGGCAACATCAAGCTCTGAGTCTTACTGGTTTCTTTTGTAGTTGTAATACAGACTGAGTGCTGTTTCACCATAATATGATTTTCTTCTGCTTTTTATGGCAAAGGAAAAGGCGTACACCAGATCAAGTTAAAGAAGAACTTAACCAAATGAAAAATCTTCCTCTCATTCAGGAGTGCCCTGTATCGTCCAACATAGAATTGTTCTTTTTATAGCATGTTATTACAACACAGATCACAAAAAGCTTCATTTCTCATAGTCTTCTGGTTTTGTTCTCACAGATCTCACTAGATTAACACAGATGCTGCAATGCCCAGTATCACACCACCTAAATCTAATCTGTCCATGGACTTAGGTCCATCAGCTCTTTAGACAATGCACTGGGAAACCTGGCCTCAGAACAGGATTCACAACATGCAGACACAAAGCAATGGTTAGGAACTGAATTCTGAGTTCCAGAGAGCCCAGGAGGTATAGATTCACACTGGAAATCTCTCCCAGTAATACTCTATTGCTATGATAAAAACCAGCAGGAAAGTCTTGGGATCTACGTCAGGATGCTCCTTCAGAGTTCCTCATCTGAAAAAATGCTCTGAAATGAGGAATCACTGCAAAAAGGACTTTCTCCACCGCCAAGAAGTCACTGCACTGTGTGCACAGCTCTATCCTGGAGATACTCAGCAGGCTCACCCCAAGCTGCCCTCTCATTAGGATGCCGGGATCATGGATTCTGCTTTGTGCAGGCGTGAGCTACACCTTATGTTGCTCAAACCTGCCAAGCCAGAGGCAGTCCCAGGCACTCATGGAAGGTGAAATCTAGACATCAAGGGAACTTATGGAAACACGGGTATCCACAGGCTGTCGGGTCAATGGGAATTAGAGTGGAGGAGGAAAGAACTGAGGCTGGTGTTCTGGACTTCAGGTCTTAAAAACCATCTGTTTCTGTAGGTTTGGGGCCTGCTCTCTTTTATTATGAGACAGTAACTAAGGTACTGTGTGAACAACGGCAAAATCTGCATTGACACATAAAATAACACATGATCAATTAATCCTAAAGCTGAAAAGATTTATGGTAAACTAAAAGGCTTCTCTCCAAATGATGAGCATCAATAATTCTAGTCTGAAAGGTTACCTGTTATTCTACCCACTGAACAAGATTTTGTAGATTAGCAATTATTTCTTCAAGATCATATGGCAGAGGCATATTACATTCATCATCTGTCCAGAAGGGATGGCATTCTGGTTTCTGGTCTTCTGGCAAGCTCTCTGCTGCTTCTGACTGGCATCTGAAAAGAAAAGTAAGCAGATGAACTACTTGGGTAAAACTGTATCAAGAAACTGAATACTCAGCGAGGATATATTTCTGCATTAATTTAAAGAGAAAGATGATAATAAAAAAGAAATACAACATCTTCTGACCAAATGGATTGCTCATTTACAGTGAAGTTGATTTCTGTTGTAGGCTTTGTGTTTTCTATAGGGATTTCTCAAAAAGCCAATCACAGAGAAAACTCAGTTAGTGTACCTTTATATGGTGAATTATTTTTTCATTATCTCAGCTGTTATTTAAAGTATGTGATTAAACCATTATCAGATTTAAATGTTTGCCGGTTTCCAATGTATTACTAGATTATTGAGAAAGATTAAACTGAATTTACTGCATTAAGGTCAGGGGGGATAGATTAAACAATATTAAAGAAGCTGGACTAGCTTTGTAGATTCTGGAGATTTACAAGTGTATCACCATGCTTAGCTCTGAAAAAGGCAATATAAAAAGAGAAAATTCCATAAAGATAAATGGAAATGGAGGTTAATAACAACTTCCAATGATGAATAGGTGGGCAAAACTTCAATAAAATTAAATTAAGAGGTTAGTGTATGCTAGTCCCCAGAGAAAATGTTTAAATTACAGTGTTTTTTATTAAATGGATTATTCATCAATACCAGTGAAGTCTAATTATAATATTCAACTGAACTGCAGCCTGCAGAGGAAAGTTTTATAACTGGCAACCATCACTTCTCTTAAGATTAGGCTGTAATACAACATGCCGCATCAAAAAAATTGTCCCAGTTCAAGCAGGATTTCTCCACCTCTCTGTTATGTTCTTCTCAAACAATTTGCATGTTGCTGATTAATTGTTTAATGTTTGCAATAGGGTAAGACAAAGAAAAATGCTAAGGAGTACTGTAATTTTGGTATCTACTGCAGGTCTACATAGTTCTTGAAAGATATAAAAAGCAAATTGTAGAAACACACTTTTATCTCTTGTAAGACTTTTTAAAAATCCATGTTCTAGAAAGCATATAATCGTTGTAACAATGTTAAAGTTGTTTTAAACATAGATGTGTCTTTCATCTCTGTAAAACGAACTCTGAAAATATGGACACACTAAACTTCCTTGTGTACACCGTCAGCCTTCTGGAAGAGACAGTTTCCAAATGAAAGATGTCTTCTTCTCTTGGGAATTATTAATGGCAGTGTAACCCCCATGAGAAAACATACTTCAGCTTTACACCCATGTTGGTGTGTGGTTAATTGCCGCACCAGCATCCTGGGCACTCAATCCATCGTACATTACACTGCAAGGACAGTATTAACACATAACATTCCAATATATCTTCAGCTCTCCACATCAGCCCCTGATAATAGCATCTGTTAACATGCACTAAGTACTATTATGTAGCACATCACTTCATAAATAATAAGATTAGCCGACCTCAGGGCCCTGGGAAGAGTAATGTGTTTAAATGTTCTCATTATTTATTTAAAACAAGAATTAAAGGAACAGAAGCTACTTGTGACAATCCTCTTAGCATAAATATTAAACTGTTTGCATTGATAAGCTGAACTGTACAGAATAACAGAGGATTTGTTTTGCTGGCTGCTTTATAATAGTTGTTAGAGCAAATGCAGTTTAGTGTGTGAGTTCTGAGAGGTACTTAACTGATTGTGCCATCATGTTCTGAAGACATTTTCCAAATTACATAAAGGAACAGGAGAAAATTAATATGCAAGGGAAGCTGAAACTAATTACAGCATAACTCTATAAGGCTTTTAAAAATCTTGCTTTATTTTCTGTCTTGGCACAAAATAATATGCTCAATTTGCTGGGTAGTATAAGATATTCCAGTTTAAGCATTTCAATCTAAAAGTGGATAAATTAACCATGTAAAGATTATTGCAGGTGACGAATCAAGAAGCTCAGCCGGTAAATAGAGCAGGCACATTATGTGGTCTGCAAAACTCACCTTATAATAATAAACATTCTCTCTCTCATACATCTGCTATTAACAACAGAATTTTCAGTGAGAGGAAAAACATAACAACTTTTGGCTTCTTCATCATTTCAGAGCCCTTTTTTTACCTTTAAAGTCTTTCTTTTTTTCCCCATTGCTCTCTCACACAAACAGATTGACCAGCTTTTCCCTCACATTTGGGGTTTGGGCGTTTGTGCTGCTGTATATGCAGCAGCTGTCACAGTGATGCTGTGACTGGACAGCCACGAGCAGCTATTCCAGTTGCTACTTTCCCTTCTCTATTTTTCTTACTGGCAGAGCCATCTCTGAAAGGTCACCCCAGAATGGGGCACGTGCCTTAACTTTCAGGCAATCAAACACTTGGGAAGGTTTAGCCATATCATATCCCAGGCGAGGGATGAGAGCAATGGAAGAGTATCAGGTCTTCAGACTTCCTGTGGAAGTCAGAGGACAGAAATGCATCAGGGTACTGCAGAAGTACAAAGAAGGGGAAAGCAGTGCCTTTGTAGCCCAGGTTCTGCAATCCCATAGCTCCTCCTGTCCAGGATTTCTATTGCTTTGCTTTATATCACTAGCAAGAAGAACAGTGAACGTTACATTTTTACATCTTGTGAGTCACCTATTTTGATCAGAATTGCCACCCCTGTGCCAGATCCACTGACATCAAAGTCAATTTAAGTTGCTTGTATTTACAGGTGTGGGGCTGGGTTCTAAGCAGTCATTCAGCAATTCACGTGAACAGCATCTGCTAGCTCAATGCAGTCATCCAAATACCTGCTTTCTGACTCAGAGCTCGTGTGCAAGAGCAAACCTTTCCACACAAGTATATTAGTATTGATTTTAATAAATTTCTGTGGGAGAAGTTGTTCCTACAATGCTCTTTAATTTGAGCAGAGTAACAGACCTAAAGATCCTGCAAAAGGATAGCAATATTTTTAACTGAAGCAGAACAATCAAAGGCACTTAAATAATTGTCCAGAACTATTTCAAATTCCTTTATATCTGGGAAGAGATAGCTAACATAAGTTAGCAATGATAACTCAGAATAAACAGAAATTCTATCTTTTCCCAGATACAAAAGAATTTATGAGGCTCCATGTGGGAAACACTGGAAGGATCAAAGTATGGTGGTAGTGGGAAGGTAGCAATATTTATAATATTTTAATACTACATTATAATATTATAAGTTAATTAAAATAATATTTATTAATTAAAAACTGTAATTTGCATTAATAAAGTAAAATCTCCAAATCAGAGTAGATCCAATCTGTGTATATTGCATGCACAAAACGTGCTAAAAGTGGAAGTAACACCTGCTCTGAGATACAAACAGATGCCAAATCAAGAGGCATCTTTCATACTTTATTTGCAGCAGAACAGAAAAACTGCCGTGATGTATTTCAGAGCAATTTAGCTCCAACACCTTGATAATACATGTTCACCAACATATTAAAGAAAGGATGATTTGTCTGAAGGTGTGTAGAATGCACAAAACTCTATGGTCCCCACCTTCTTGCTAAAACAATCAAGACTTGTGCCAGTTTCAATTAAAAAGGTCCATCTGAAGGAACAATTAGTCACTGTTGCAGTGCACATTCTCGCTAGCTCTACCCTGTAAACTTCACAGATTTTTGATCCCTCTTATGTCCGTTTTTGCCAAATGGACTTTGCTCATTCATATTTACCAATAGCTAAATATTAATGTAAGTTCAACTAAGTCACGACAAACATTTGTATGACAGTACACGACTCTT